GGAATGCCTTTAAGTTATTTAGTTAAGTCAGTTTTTGCCAGCTTTTTAGTTTTGTCTCCTGTAGGGTCAGCCTGATCAGAAGAGAAGGCAGGAAGAAGAGATCCTCAGCTAGCCTGACCCGAGGCCTGGTTACTGAGAGCAGAAAGGGTTCTCAGGGTAGGTCAGAACAGAGGTGGTAGGAAAGGGCTTTCAGGAGTGAATATGACTCCCAAGACATAGTGAAAAAATGGGTCAGTGACTGGGAATCTGTAAAGACAGGTGCCAGCCAAGTGGCCAGACCCAGAGATTAGGTTCCAGAACCAAGGAACCAAAAAGTAGATAGACAGGAATGGATGTCACGCCTGGACTCTCAGCCCAGGGTGAGCAAAGCCCGACTGTGCCTGTTCAGGTTTTAACCCAAGTGAATTTGGACAAGATTGTTCATTTATGGCTGTTCTTTATAAAGCTACATGCACTCTTTACCCCACATTCTAAGGGAGACATTGTAACTATTGACAAGAACAAGTAGAGAGAGAGCTGGAAGTCAGTCCTCAGTGGCCCCCTCAGCCAGTTAACTTCTATAAGTGTGCACGGTGGCAAGAAGAAACATCCCTGATTGTGGTGAAAAGCTACTCTCCTGGTGTGGCTTATGAGTTTAATTTTTTAGTATATTGCTTTGCTGATGGGAATGTTTTTCTTAAAAGCACAAGAGATTAGTGTAAGAAAATAAACTGCCAAGGAAAGCTGAAAATAAAGTGCATTGTTCTGTCCAATGAGTCACAGTTCCAGGCAAAGCCTTTGGAGTTGCCACGCCTTGGAGCTTCCACTCTGTAGACACAGCGTGAGCAAGGGGAAAAAACCCACAGCTGGGAATCAGCCCGAGAAGACAAGACAGCTAAGTTGACCTCTGAGCTGTAGCATGAGCCAACTCTGGCAGTCACGTGGTGACCAGCGATATTCTATTCTCCAACACCCCTAGGGGAACAACCAAAACCCAAGCAACTTCCTTCAAGAGGGATCAAGAGGGAAACTGCTCCAGAGCAGAAGCGATACCTTCTAGAACTGATACTTTCAAAGTTGGGGAGATCATTTTCACACTTCGTAATCTGCTTTAATTTACTTCTCTGATTCTGTTCATTCATTCATTCAACAAATATTTATTGAGTGTTTACTGATCTAGGTGCTGAGGAGGTAGTGATAAAAACAGACAGGGTCCTTTTCACATAAGCCCTTCAGCGTAAAGGAGACAACCAATTACACAACATGAATGTGACATTGTAGGCATGATCATGCTTCAAAGGAGAGGTATCTGATGCACCGAAAGCATGAAAGAGGGGATTTGAGCTAGGTAGGGAGCTCAGCTCAGGCTTCCAGGACAGAACAGGAATTTGAAGGAAAACAGGTGAGAAGCAGTGGGAGAAAAGGTTCCAAACAGAAGGACAGAAAGAGAAAAATTCCCTTCAATATCCCTCAACATTTCATTTCTAGTTTCTTGAGAACATGAGAGACATGATACATTGAAAAACAATGGAACTTGGAATCAGTTGGTTTCATTCTAGCCCTATGGCAATACTCACACAGCCTTGAACAAGTTACTTAGATTTTCTGAGCCTTAGTTTTTTCACCCATAAGATAGGAAGGATAAAACACAATAAAAGTTAGCACCTTTCCCCACTGGCTAATTTTCATAAGCTTTCTGAGACTCAGTGTCTTCATTGAACAATAGAAATAAAAAAATTGTACCTGTATCTGGGAATTGACATTTAGGTGGGTTCATTTGTAAGCTCTAAAGCATTATATAATTATTGGGTAATATTATTAGTCACTCATAAAATATTTGTGAGGCCTGCTATATTCCAGATCCTGTGATAGTTACTGCAGAAATTGAAGTGTTTGTTTTTTTTTTTAATCTTTGGCTGCATTGGGTCTTCGTTGCTACATGCGGGCTTTCTCTAGTTGTGGCAAGCGGAGGCTACTCTTCTTTTCGGTGCACAGGTTTCTCATTGCAGTGGCTTCTCTTGTTGTGGAGCACGGACTCTAGGCACATGGGCTTCAGTAGTTGTGGCTCATGGGCTCTAGAGTGCAGGCTTAGTAGTTGTGGCGCATGGACTTAGCTGCTCCGCAGCATGTGGGATCTTCCCAGACTAGGGATCGAACCCGTGTCCCCTGCACTGGCAGGCCCTGCACCACCAGGGAAGCCCGGAAGTGGAAGATTGATGGAGGCATAGCCTTGCTCTCAGGAGAGAGGTGCTGAAAGAGAAATTCATCCTTTTCCTTGATCAAGAGAGAAAAGGCAGCAAGGACAGGAGGAAAGGCCTCTGTGGCCTGCACAGGCATCCAAGTTCCTGGCACTTGGCCCTCTCTGGGGGATATCTGATACCTTCCCCCCACCAGCCATCAGCTGAGAGCTCTCCCAGACTACCTGATGCAAGGCCCCAGGGACAGGGCTGCAGGATGGATTTCCAAATCTTCAAAATAAGCAGACAAAGGAATCTTACATCAAACAAAAAATGACGAGTGCAGTAGGGAAGGAATTGCTCTGAATGATGGAGGAGGTTGTCAAGGATTTCTAGATTTCTATGCTTCTACTGCAAGTGGATGGAAAAACCCAGATTCTCTGATTTTCAGCCCAGCCAGCCAGGCTTCCCTCTTTTAAGCTCCTTTTGTCTTATTTCCATTTGAGAAGACATAAAATGAGTAAGGGGTGGAAGATTTCTTGCCAAACCATGATTCAGGAGGAAGTTCAGCCACAGAACATGCAAGTGTGGCATCGCCCAGAGAAAAAAGACTTGTAGAGACAGGTCTCCGAAAGATCCACCCCAGATTTTGCACAGAAGGCACCTCCTTCATCACAAGCTCTAAGCCCTTCCAAGTTCAGGAAGAAACTACCTGCTCCGCCATTGACAACTTGGCACAATGTGCCCAGCAGGACCAGTGTGAGTAAAGCAGACGGTTTTCTGCAACATGACCCACGGGGACAGTGCAGGTCCTGTTTACAGCCTGAAGTTTGTGACTCTCCTGGTGGTCCTAGGTCCGGAACTCCTATTCCTGGGAGCTGGAGTGCAGCTTCAAGAAAATGGGTATAATGGATTACTTGTTGCAATCAATCCTCAGGTATCCGAGGATCAGAACCTCATCCCAAACATTAAGGTGAGTGGCAAGTATGAAGTCAAAACCATTATCCTATTCAAGCAGACCTGTAGCCTTCTTTAAGGAGTTGCCTGGTTTGTATTTGAGCAGTAAGGTAAGCGATGTTTCTCAAAAATAGCAACAAAAATTATAATTAACAGCCAAGCCAGTTCGTTCACCTAATTCTGTGTAGTCTCAGCTCACAGACTGTTGATCTAGCCCTCTTTTATTTGTTGTTGTTGGTTACTACTAATTTTAGCTTTTGTGTTTAACTACATGGCTGTTTTTGGGGTAGCAACTTAAAAAATAATCCATTGTGGCAACAAAGACCAGATGTTTGACTGATGAATAAGCATGATTGTGCCTATTAAAATTATGTTGTTGGATTCCATCCTGAGGATGGGAATTCTCAGACAGAAAGAGTGAGAGTTTGAATGGAGTGCCAAAGAGCAACATTCTTTCTTTTCACCTGAATGTTCTGTAAAGCAGTTGACTATTTTCACCTTGATATGGTAAGGCAGGCCCATAGCTCCATTACTTGAGTCTCCCTTTGGTATTGCTTTAGTGAAATCAGTATTGTCATAAGGTGTGGTCTTGGAAAGGCGTGACGTGAAAAGGATTTGTTCTGTAAAAGCTTAAAAGTCTTTCACAAAATTTGGAAAATGATATAGGCAAACCCAGACGCACAATTGGTGTCCTAAAATCTCTTCCAGATAACCATTTGAAGTTTATTTATTTTGCTCCTCGGTTTTCCCAAAAATCTAATACTGTCTCTAAAAGAAATGGGCTCCTTCAAAATACCTTCATTATTTTTATTACTGCTTCTTCAAGTATAACCAGAAAACCAAAACATTAAGAATTTACAAGTGATAAAATAAGCTTTTCTTTTATTTGGTTACAGGAAATGATAACTGAAGCTTCTTATTACCTATTCAATGCTACCAAGAGAAGAGTGTTTTTCAGAAATATAAAGATTTTAATACCTGCTACATGGAAAGCTAATAATTACAGCAAAGTAAAACAAGAATCATATGAAAAGGTAATTCAAGATTTCATTAAATGTGCTTAACTCAAGAAAAAAATATAATGTGTTCAAACTTTAAAAGTGAGAACTTAGACAAAAACAAATTAATATTAATACACAAACAATATTATTGAAAAGATTGTTATGCACAAAATGTATGGAAATGTAATAAATGAGTGAAAATTATGGAGTAAAAAATAAGCAAAATGCCATTGCCCAAGCGGCCTCTCAGAAGATCTCTTTACTATGTAACTTACAGAGTCCTTTCGGAAATTTTTGGTTAAGGACCAAGAGCTAGTTTTATTCTACTGAGTATGAGCTGTAAAGGGAATAATTTCAGTTATGACTATCCTCATTTCCCACCCTGTCAGAGACAGTAAACATACATGTACAGACAGAAACCTAAGCCACCCATGCATATAAAAATATGACTTTCTTGTCCTGCAAGAGTGCAAATTAGCAGAATTTCACATTAGCCCAAGTCCAGGACACTGTTTTTGAGGAGTATGTTGATAAGAAGCAAGGCAGAAAGCAGGGAAGAGAGGCATGGCTACCTTTTTTTTTTCCAACCAAAAAAAGAACCTTCAAAGGACTCTCATAAGCTGTAGATTATAATTAAGCATCCATGATAATGTCTGGCACATACTGGTATGCATGCTATAAATAAATGTTAAATAAATTTGGCAAATGACTGTTTGAAATTACCGTGATCAAGAGTCCTAGCAGCTACCAGAAAGGGCAGGAGCAGAGGCATTGAGAATATAGCTCAGGGCTTCAGCAATGGAGTGGGTTCAAGATCTGTAATTACAGCTCGAATAGAAGGGCTGAGACTGTGGTAGTTTCCCCTTTTCCTTATTTGTGTCACTTGGTATGAATTTTCCTAAGATTGTTTTAATTCTTAGATCTCCTTTGAAGTTATTGAATGATATAGCAATCCCAAAGGCACCCCAGTGTCCTGAAGAAGTTAAAGGGGTCCTTAAAACTATCTGATTTATGACCAGGTGAAAGCATTTGATGCTTGGGCATGGAGATAGGAGCGATAGACGACCTGGGATAAACTGGGAACAGATCTATTGTTTATTAAACTTCAACTAAATGCTAGGCATTCTGTATATATTGCTTAATTCTCAGACACCTAAAATTAGTTGCTGTTATTGCAAATTAGGAAACGGAGGCTCAAATATGGTAAGGATTTTATCCCAAGTCAAACAGCTGGTAAATTAAAGAGCAATTTGAATTCATGCCTGTTTGATTCCAAAACCTATGCTCTTTGCTCTAAGCTATACTGTCTCCAGCCACCTTACATAGTTGTCATTAAGCAATCTGGCCTTTAGTGGGACAAAAAGTCTTGGAGATAACCAACACCAAAACCAGGTGCTACTCCTCATCCTAATGGAGAAGAGAGAAATAAATAACTAAAGCAAAAATGACTGAACAGGGCTTCCCTGGTGGCGCAGTGGTTGAGAGTCTGCCTGCCAATGCAGGGGACACAGGTTCGTGCCCCGGTCCGGGAAGATCCCACATGCTGCGTAGCGGCTGGGCCTGTGAGCCATGGCCGCTGAGCCTGCGTGTCTGGAGCCTGTGCTCCGCAACGGGAGAGGCCACAACAGTGAGAGGCCTGTGTACCGCAAAAGAAACAAAAACAAAAACAAAAACAAAAGACTGAACAGAAAGATTAAAGGAAAGAGTCACTGAAGGCTGTTCATATATCTGCTAGATACCAACTCTTTTAACCTCATAATGTTAATCAAGCAAACACTTAGCAAATGATCATTACATACAGGAACCATGCTAGGCATGGCAGAGGACACAAGGAAAAGTAAGATAGTTCCTCTCCTTGTGACTCTACAGTCTAATGTAGGTGGGATGCAGGGGAGGGGGGAGGGGTAGGAAAAAAGTACATAAAAGCTGTATTACTATGGTCTGTAAGGTAGTATATAACCCCAAACAGCCTGAGTATTCTATCCCATGCAGTGTACTCTTTCCTATTTGTTTCAGGACAACATTCCAGACATAGAAATGAGGTTTTGTCCAAGTGAAGACTATTCAAGGGCATGATGCCTGTAGCCCTTTTCACAGGTGTTGCCTTGCAAAGTCCTTGGCTTGAATTCTTATCTTTCTAAAAAAAATGCTAATTATTATAAAAATAATTCATGCTTGTTGCAAAAAGACAACGTAGAAATATGGACAATAAAAAGAAAATATTACCTTCCACTATTCCTCAGCGGTGTGTACACCCCCCCACACACACACCAGTACACATGTAGTACATATAGTGATCATTATATATATATTTGTAAGATCATATTAGATCTATTGTTCCATAATGAACTTAAAAAAAAATTAACAACATACTTAACTTCTAAGGGCAAGTCTTGAGACAACATATTATCTTTATTCCTCAAAATAAAAGGAACAATGTTGTATATAAAACTGTGTTCTCTAGATGGTTATTTGAATAGATATTTACTTTAGCTTCTGACTTAAAATATTGTGTTTTATAAATAGTAATTGAAATGGTAAGGGTACAGTATGAAATATAACTTCAATAGAATAATTGTTTTGCTGATCTGATTGGTTATGGGAATAAAAGGACAAGGCTTAAAAGAAACATATCCTATTGTCTTGCACTGATGAAAGAACCCACAGAAAATTGTTCACAAAAGGCTATAACATTTTACAGTACAGCTCTGAATGATGTGTAAATGCTCTTAACATTTCTTCAAACTTTTTAATTACTTTTTATCGTGATTTATAATGTCAGAAATTTACAGTGTTGACTTTTGAGAAAATTTTAATCTGGAAAATGGGAAGGTCAAATGAAGGTAATGAAGCTCCATGGAAATTTGATAAGCTTTTAAAATACATACGCTTTTGAAAGTGACAGATAGTTTTGTTGATATTTAGTTGTGAATGCATTTTAAACTCCATCTAAAGGCATTTATTTTTTTAATCTGTTTTAAAATTGGAATACAATCCATACAGAAAAATGGACACATATCTTAAATGTACACTTCAAAGTGTTTTAACAAATGTAGATATTTATGTCACCAACATTACAGTCGAGATGTGGAGTATTACAAGGCATTTCTTTTAATTTAGGCAAATGTCATAGTGACTGACTGGTATGGGGCACATGGAGATGATCCATATACCTTGCAATACAGAGGGTGTGGAAAAGAGGGAAAATACATTCATTTCACACCTGACTTTCTACTAAATGATGACTTAACAGCTGTCTATGGATCACGAGGTAAGTTTGACCAATCAAGAAATAGACAATGGACAGCACTATTTACAGTATTCTGTGCTTAATGCTAAAAGGGACTCAGAGGACCTGAAACCTGCCAAGGACTTACCATTGGGATGAGGAGATAGGCCACGTGCCCATGAAAAGATGAGGGACAAAGTGAGTCAGAAAGGGTTAAGCACCAGATTAGTGGCCCAGACAGGGCATGCTATAAGAATTCAGTGAAGAGCGAGAGCATTTTGAGCTAAAGGTGGTCAGAAAAGGCCTCACAAAGAAGAGGATCTTAAGGTTGAATATAATTTTGATAGATGGAAAGAAGGGAGAGAAGAGTGGGAAAAGTATGAATAAAACCGTGGCAGCAGAAGAATCCAGGGCATATTTGAGAGATGGGCACAGTAGACCCCACTGATGGTGCAGAAAAACTGTGGGAAGTGAATAGTGGGAGAAAATGCTGAAATGCACATGGGGTAGGTGATGGAGAGCCTCAAATGCCCAAATTAGCAAGTCACAACTTAAGGTTTATAAACATAGGAGTGAAACCATCCAAGCAGGGTTTTCAGAAGCTGAATCTGGCTGTGAGGATAATCTGACTCCCTCAGATCAATGAGGGAGAAACTGGATATCAGGAGAATAACTAGAAGTCCAGGTATGAGGCCATGAGACTTGAGTAAGATTTGAAGGCAGTGAGATGGGAAGGACAAGAAAGAGAGTAACAAGAACAAGAGAATTTTCTATGTGCCAAGTGCTGTGCTGTTTGCTTTTCAAATGTTATCTTATTTAATCCTAACAACTCTAAGTAATGAGAGATATTCCAGAGCGGAAAAAGTATGACACAGAGGTCAGAACTGCTTCAGAGTGAAAGTCAAGGAGTGTGTGTGTGGGCAGCATTAAGGAACACACCAGGTTTGGGGCAGAAATAGAAGGGAACAGTTTAATGGGGAAATCCACAAGTCTGGATTTAGGCAAGTGATTGTGAGGAAAGTGGACTGTGCTGGTGGAAAGACCCAGCCTGTGGCGGAAGAAGGATGACTAGAGTTTGACAGTGAAGCCAGCATCATAGGTTTGGAGACTGGCATTTAGTGGATGAGATCTGAGAAAGAAACTGTTTTGAGAAAAAATGAGTAGGTCAAGGGCTAACTATCCAATTCTTAATTTTTTGTTTTTGATTTTAACGTACAACAGTGCCTTTCAAATGATGTTTTCACTTTTACCCCCATTTAAATCTAAATAGATTTTATTATCCTCTGAATAACTAGCGGGAAGTGGAGCCACACACTCTATAAAACATGCTTTATAAAACACTTTATAAAACTTGATTAAAATGGCTTTTTTTCCTGGTAACTCTGAGGTGCTGATAATCTCTGCACAAATATATGACTTCACCAGCACTTCTAAATTCCATGAGTAGGCAGAAACTTTTCCTTAGCACTTTCAGCTTAGACTGTTCCCCTCCCTTCCTATGTTCCTAGGTCCAAAAATTGCATAATATGCCACAGCCTGAGCCAACTCAGCAAACATTTCCTGGGTTCCCAGATCTTAAAAGAATTCAGAAAGAAAAGTGTACTTGGGGAGGGGAGTTAATCTGGAAAATTTCTACTGGGGAGAAGTCAGTTTTTAGCTGAACATTGAAGAAAATACAAGATTTAGAGAGGTAGAGATAAACTTATAAAGGATTTGATGCTGACAATGAGGATTTTCATGAGCTAAGAGTTGAAGATAAACATGGAGAATCAGGGCTTCCCTGCTGGTGCAGTGGTTGAGAGTCTGCCTGACGATGCAGGGGACGCGGGTTCGTGCCCCCGGTCCGCGAAGATCCCACATGCCGTGGAGCAGCTGGGCACGTGAGCCATGGCCGCTGAGCTTGCGCGTCCAGAGCCTGTACTCCGCAAGGCTCGCGGACTGCAAAAAAACCCCATAGAGAACCAGGAATAAAATGAAAGAGAAAGGACCACCCAAGCTGGTGAGGAGGTTCTATGATACTTTTTGCTCCTTCTTCCCTCCGTGGCCCCAGGGTTTCAGTCATTGCTGTAGACAGGAGAATTATCTACAGGAGAAAAAGTGGCAGGCATGCCTGGATAACACAAACTGAAGAATAGGAAAGCTTTATTTGCTGGTTTGATGTCTTAGTCCATTTGGGTTACTATAACAAAATATCATACACTGGGAGGCTTATGCACAACAGAACTTTCTCACAGTTCTGGGGACTGGAAGTCCAAGATCAAGGCACCAGCCGAATTGGTGTCTGTGAAGGCCCACTTCCTGGTTCATAGACAGCCATCTTCTCACTGTGTCCTCACATGACAGAAAGAAGGAAACTCTCGGGGGTCTTTTTATAAGGGCACTCATCCCATTTATGAAGGCCCCACCCTCATGATCTAATAATCACTCCCAAAGGCCTCACCTCCTAACACCTTCACATTGTGGGTCAGGATTTCAACATATGAATTCTGGGGGGAACATACACATTCAGTCCATATGCTTCTTTTCCTTTCCCAGAATCCTGAACTTATAGGCATGTATAAAGTTAAATAGAAACCCTTAGGCAGCTTCCTTAGGGAAATGAGAGAATGTGAGACTCCTCACTAATTTCAAACAGATATGCAACAGGTAAATCACTGGTTTGCACTTCCAGGACTAAACATATTTTCACACTGCCTCTTTTATGATGGTGGGGGTAAAGCAGAAGGAGATGGGAACGGTGTGGGGAAGAGGAAAGTGGAAGGAAGAATTGCACGTCAACCCTTCGGAATGAGTATATATAGTCAGGCGATGTTACGTATTCACTGATTAGCAAGGTCTATTGCTGAAATTTTAGGAACTCAAAACAAAAACTCTCTCTTCCACAGGCAGAGTGTTTGTTCACGAATGGGCTCACCTCCGTTGGGGTGTGTTTGATGAATATAACAATGAGAAACCTTTCTACATAAATGGGCAAAATCAAATTAAAGTAACAAGGTTAGTGTTTTTCTTGCATGTTTAAAATTCACTGTTTTTTTTTTTTTTACTCTAAAATAGAGTTTATAATGGCCACAAAACTTAACTGACAATTTTCAGTTTTATTGGATTTTTTAGAAAATTGGTAAGTATTTATGTGGTCAAATGCCAAAACAATATAAAAAGTTATACTCTTATATAGCATACTCCCACCACTCTCTTCACCCTGTTCCCTTTCATCCCCTCTAGATCACCATTTTTATTAGTTTCTCATTTATTTTTTCTGTGTTTCTTCAGGAAAATTCAAATAAATATGAATATATATTTTTCCTCATTCTTCTTTCTTTTAATTGCATAGTCTTCCATTGTGTGGATATACCGTAATTTTTCAACCAGTCCCTTATTGTTGAACAAATGAGTTGTTCACCATATTTTGTTATTACTACAAGTCATAATGCTATAAATAAGTTATTTCCATTATATGCAGGCAGATCTGTATATCTATTGAATAGCTTCCAAGAATTACCAGGTCATAGGGTAATTTTAGCTGTAATTTTGGTAGATATTGACTGATTCTTCTCCCAAAATTTAGATGGTTTTTTTTATCCCATTGACAGCATTTGAGACTGCTTATATAGGAAGGAATCCTTTTAAATATCATCATTAGATGTTCATTCTCTTCTTCCTCTGATGTCCAATGGCAATGAACTCAAAGGAGCCCTGATTCAGGATACCACCACTCATGCCCTTCCTCGGGCCTCCAAAAGTTCATGTTGATTTCTCGGTGACTTTTGCTTTGACCCTGTTTAGCTGGTAAAGCCCTTGGCAATACAGAGCCTCTCATCAAAATCAAATGCTTTAAAATCAAGTGGAGTGCATTTGTAAATTAATGACCTTTCTTAATAGTTTTTAAAATGTCTTCTGTGTATCTAGCAATCTACGATCCTAGAAACAAATTATTTTATGAGCCAATAAGAAAGAAACATAAGCATTTCTAAAACAGACCCAATGTCTCTTCCTATTTTAGGTGTTCATCTGACATCACAGGCATTTTCTTGTGTGAAAGAGGCCCTTGCCCCCAAGAAAACTGTATTATTAGCAAGATTTTCAAAGAAGGATGCATGTTTATATACAATAGCACCCAAAATGCAACGGCATCGATAATGTTCATGCAAAGTTTATCTTCTGTAAGTATGGCCTTAGAATAACAAACTCTTACAAGATTCCATCTTTTCCCAAGATAGACTGATAGGTTTTAAGTATTTAAACAAAAAGACAATTAAGATTCACTACATTTGGGACTTCCCTGGTGGTCCAGTGGTAAAGAATCCACCTTCCAATGCAGGAGAGGAGGGTTCAATCCCTGGTCGGGGAACTGAGATCCTTAGTTGCCGAGGGGCAACTAAGCCCATGCGCCACAACTACTGAAGCCCACACTCCTAGAGCCTGTGCTCCGCAACAAGAGAAGCCACCGCAATAAGCCTGCGTGCCACGACTACTGAGCCCGCGTGCCTCAACTAGAGAGCCCATGTGCTGCAAACTACAGAGCCCATGTGCTCTGGAGCCCGCACCATAACTAGAGAGAGAAAACCTGCATGCCACAACTAGAGAAAGAGAAGACCGTGCGCCGCAATGAAAGATCCCGCCTGCCACAACTAAGACCCGATGTAGTCAAAAAAAAAAAAAAGTAAAAAGATTCACTATGTTTTAGAGCTTGAGGAACCTTAGAGTTCATCTAGTTTTTACTTTACAGATTAAAAAGAAGAAAACTCAGCGCCCCCCCTCGACAGTCCAAGCTGATCAGTAAAAATTGTTTCCTTTAGAAAAGTGATTATTTGCTCTCCAGGGAAGATGCTTTAACAAGGGGAAACCTGGAGTCTTCAAAATAAATTGCTCGTATGGTGGTGCTCCTATATCCTTCCACAGGAAATTATACCGGGTTAATGACAGGGATGTAATGTATGGTTATATTTCTTTATTTAAGGTAGTAAACCACTCTTATTTTAATGAAATTCCCTAATTCTCTTTCCC